GAAGCTTTATTTTTATATTACCATCTCCGCTTTAACCCAACTCACTGTTCATTGTTGGTCATACGACCTCGCTTGGAACACGTTTAAAATGCTTGTCCCGGTCAGTGGCTCTAGATCCATACGGACACTCAGCGGCAGGACCGCCAGGGCGGAGGAGCACCTCAATTCCCCAGCATCGCGCTGGTGAAGAGGTTGCCCCTCAAAAGCCCCATGCCTAGGAGCCTTTTGTCAAGGCTCCGGGGGGGTGGCGACCCGTCGCACCCCCTCCTATCCACTGGTGCGCAGATCACATCCCCAGAAGGTCCAGGATATGCGTCCGCCAGCGTGTCACCATAAACCGGAAAACCAGAATTAGTGTTAAAAGAGAGACTGATTTTGGAGCAGGCTGCTTTTGAGAATACAAGACTGTTAGAAGGATATTGACTGAGTTTGGAGCAGACCGCTATGTGTAATTTGTTGACCTTTGTATTTTTTCTATGAAGGAATAATTTATTACTTATTAGTTGCATTTGTTTCCCGCCCTCCCCGCGAACAGGCTCAGGGCGGCTAACATTGCACGGTACAATGTACCTAGTCCACATAAAACATTTTAAACGTTTAAAAAACAATATACAATTAAAGTGCTCACTGTAATAATCATCCCTTCATTAAATTAAGGTGGCGTACTATATGATGTAACACCAAAGTTCCCAATTCAGCGGTCTTCCAGCCTCCCATGGTGATATGGCTCGATCTCCAAGCTGTGGCCAGCCCTTCACCATGGATGTTGATGATAATGGTGGTTGGTGGTAGTGGTGGGCAGCTCCTGGTTGAAAGCCTGGTGGAAGAGCTCTGTCTTGCAGGCCCTGCGGAACTGTAAAAGGTCCCGCAGGGCCCTGATCTCCTCCGGGAGCTCATTCCACCAGCAAGGAGCCGCCACTGAAAAGGCCCTGGCCCTAGTAACAATGAGCCTGTTATCCTTGGGGCTGGGAATAATTACTCGATGTTGTGACCAATGTTCCCTCTAAGCTCCACAGTGTTGTGAGCCGAAATTCTACCTCGTGAGCGAAAAAAACTAGTAGCATTAAAGTTGTGAGTGAGTCTACTTGTTTTTTTTAATCTTTTATTTTCAGTTTTATAGAAGTATTACATTCCATCTATACATTTTACATATAAAATAGAGTCTTAGACATTCGTCAAATCTTCTGTCCATTTATACACCCTTAACCACCTCTTGGTATGTACCTTTTCGTTTTTGTCTTGAAGCCTCAGACTCAAATCATTCATTTGGGCTAACTCTAGTATTTTCAGTGTTAGGTCTTCTCTAGAAGGTATTATATCAGATTTCCAATTTTTAGCCAATAACAAATGAGCAGCGGTTATTATATAAGACAGTAAATAAGTTTCTTGTGCGTTATATCCCTCCGGGGTCATATTTAACAGATATATTTCAGGTTTTAATGCTAATTTCCCCCCCAAGATTTCTTGAATTATCTTCCGCACCATTTTCCAAAAGCCTTGTATCTTACTACATTTCCACCACATATGATAAAAGGTCCCTATATTAGCTTTGCACTTCCAGCATTGGCTGGAGTAACCAGGATAACATTTAGCTATTTTATCCGGGGACCAGTACCACCTGTGGAACATTTTATATACGTTTTCTTTATAGGAGATGGCTCTTATATACGTAACAGATTTCCAAGTTTTTGACCATTGGTCATATTCTATATTCTCTCCTAGGTATTTCAGCCAAGTAATCATAACCACTTTAACTGCTTCATCTTGTTCATAATCATCCAACAAAAACCTATAGAGCTTCTGTATCAATTTATCATTTGAGGATAACCAGATCTTGTCTAGTTAATTATTTTGAGTCTACTTGTGAGTGAGTCTACATTTGACTATCATGTAAATTAGTCTTTTAGACGATTACTTCCATAACCCTGTAAAAATGTCACAATAAATTCTTTTAAATATATTCTTAGAATAATACATACAAAACATACAAACATGAAATATAAACTGCTAGCTGTATTACCAGTCATATGTATAACTTTACTTATATTGGCTTTTAATATTTCATTTGACTATCGCATACATTAGTTTTTTGTACTGCCGTATGTAAAAAGCTCAGAATGCATTCTTTTAGAACATATTTTAGGAAAGATTTAAACCTTAAATATTACAAGTGGAAACAGAATTAAGTCAAATTCCATTTAAAAGGCCACCAGAATCTGGCTGGGCAGTCTTGCAAACTTTACAAAGAGACAAAGAGAGGAGAGAGGGAGGGGAATGGATTTCCCTAAATGAAGCACAAAGAAAGCCAAATCCCCTTCCTCCATCCCACTCCCATGGGCTGAATCCTTTGCCCCTTCCTTCACCAGCTTACAGTTGCTATGTCCCCCCTGGCTGGGGGCAGGGGAATGGAAGACTAAGTTGCCAGATCCAGGTTGGGAAACTCCAGGAGCTTT